TCCACAAGTGGACGCAGAACTTCAAGGCCGAACTTGAAGCGATGTGTGGCGAGAAGGGCGATGGTCCTATCAAGGCAAGTACTGCCTGATACTCTGGGAGCCAGACACTCATCCTGGTCGCGTTCCTACAGGACTACAAGGAATACCACAACAACATGAACGTTCACTTCGTCATCACAATGAGCGAGAAGGAGATGGAGAAGGCAGAGAAGCAAGGCTTCCACGAGTTCTTCAAGCTGACGACGAAGATCAACACTGGCAACATGGTCTGCTTCGATTTCGACGGCAAGATCAAGAAGTATAACTCGCCGGAAGAGATCATCGAGGACTTCTACCCCAAGCGTCTCGCCTACTATCAGAAGCGCAAGGCATGTTGCTGTACTTTCCTATACGACTTGGCGTAGCTGATCAACGCCTTCTCTAGGACTTCTTGGCCAACGAGCTTCAGACCCAGCTCGACCGCTTGAACAACCAAGCCCGGTTTGTGAAGATGATCATCGACAAAGAGCTTGTTGTCTCCAACAGGAAGAAGGCGGATATTGTTGCTGAGCTCCGCAAGAAGCAGTTCCGCCCCTTTCCGAAGGTGACGAAGGCGAAGGCTGCTGGTGAGACTGAGGACGTCGTCGAGGACGAAGATGCCGAATCCGAAGGCGACCTGTCTGACTACGACTACCTCTTGGGCATGGCCATCTGGAGTTTGACCAAGGAGAAGGTCGGTCATGCCGTTGATTGTGGCTCAGATAGGATGGTAGCTCAGACGTGTTCCATTAGATCGAGAAGCTACTCCAGCAAGCTAAGGCGAAGGAGGTCGAGCTTCTCACTCTCCTCGAACTCACGCCTATCCAGATCTGGAGGACCGATCTCGATGTCTTCCTCGAGCAGTGGAAGGTGAGTTGCACACAATGTATCGTGAGACATACGCTGACAAGGACGACGGTCAGAAAACATGCCAGGACTGGGAGGCCAAGCTTTGCGCCGCGGAAGAGGAGGCCACTGGCAAGAAGGGCAAGAAGAAGCAAGCTAAGCTACCCTTCACGCAGCCCAAGAAGCCGAAGGCAGAAGACGATGACGAGGACTTCAAACCTGGGAAACCTGCCGCCAAGTCGAAGAAGGCCTCGGAGGCTGCGAAGAAGCCGCCCGCTGCAGTCCCCTCAGGTTCGGACGTCGTGATCAAGAAGGACGAGGATGAAGACGACTTTGTCCCTCCACCTCCGAAGAAGCGCGGAGCAGCAGCCAAGAAGGCGGTCACGAAGATCGAGTCCGATTCAGACATCGAGATGGTCGACCTGCCTCCGAAGCCTGCGCCCAGGAAGAAGGCAACGGCGAAGGCTGAACCTGACTCAGACTTCGAATCGCCACCATCCTCGAAGGACAAGGGCAAGGGCAAAGCTAAGCCAAGCTCTGCTACGAAACGGAAGACGTAAGTGAAATCAAGCGATGTATCACCGAGCCATTCTAATAATGCTCTATAGGCCGGACGAGGATATTGACGACAGCGACGACGACATGTACATCAAGCCAGCGCCTAAGAAGAAGAAGGCTGAGAAATCTCCTGCGCAGGATGACGACGATGACGACGTCATGGAGGTCGCGCCGCCGCCTAAGAAGAACGGAAAGCAGGCCGCTGTCACTGACTTCTTTGGGAAAGCTGCTCCAGCGGCCGCCGCGAAGAAACCAACGTCACGCAAGGTCTCTTCGAGCAATCAGGCCGCGAGGAGCGCACCGGCAAAGAAACCTGCAAAGAAGGCGGTAGTGTCGGAGGACGACTTCTCGGACGATGACGACGACGTGCCCCCGCCACCAAAGCCGCGGAACGAGGCACCGAAGCGCGCGACGCGGGGCGTCGTGTCGAAGTATGTAGAGATCACGTCGGGCGACGAGGACGATCAGGGCTCGGACTTTGAAGACTTTGACTAGAGTGTTCCATGATACCCCCAGACTTCCTTTGAGTTCTGCTATTGTCGCATGCAGCTGCCGCCCTGTTCTCGTATGTATTCATACCGTCTTCTTCCAGGCTGCGCCGCTCCACCGTGTATCTCCTCTGACGACTGTCGATATTCGTACTCATCATGCCATCATGTCAATGTGTTTCATATACCATCCTAATTCCATTCCGTACTCCTTGTAGTGTGTAACCGTCCAGTGCCTATCTAACTGCGCGTGTCACAGAGCTGGAGACACGGTCTAGTATCCGGAAAGGCTCAGAGTCTACTAGAGAGACGCAGTCCTCGAACACATCACTTCGAGGGCGGCTTGAAGTCTTTCAACCACGCCTTGACAAACTCGACCTCCTGCTGGTGAATAGCCTGGATCTGCGGAGGCTCGAGGCTATGGTCGGCCAGCCCGTTCTCGTCGTAGTGGTGTACTCCACCTGCAACGAGCGCGTTGGTTAGTCATGACACGCACGAAATGTCAAAGATGGTCTTACCAGGAATCAGCTTGAATGGGCGCAGAGTAGTGTCGGGCCGAGGGTGCGCCGCAGGGCTGTGCGGCGTGTCGCCTCGCCAAGGGTCGTCTAGTTAGACACAGCACCATCATATCAGTTTGGTCATGCCGGGCGGGTGGCGGCAGTGAATTGGAATTGTGCACTTACCCTCGCCGTCGATGATTGCGAGGCGGTCGTACGCGATGTTGTAACCGCCCAGCGAGTTCACAGCGGTGATGTTGGGCTCGGCGGGCACCTGGAAGTGCTCGCCAGGCGGGTACGCCTGCGAAGAGAAGGCCCGAAAAGTTCAGTAGCTGGCTCCCAGCGAGATGAATCGCGGGGTGACGTACGAGTTTGCAAATGAGGGAGGCATACTCTTGCGTGATGAGCTTGGAGATGATGCGTGGGATGGCAGGATCGGGCGGGGGAGTCTAAGAATAGAGATGAGTTTGAACTCATGAGCTAGGTGCTGTCGCCGTGCAGAAAGATGAACAGAGTCGTACCATGAAGAAGCCCCATTGCGTGCAGACTTGGAAGTCCCAGAGACGCCACGTCTGGGAGAGGTCAGTCGCGAGGTATTGGTCTTTCGCCGTGATTGTCCCGAAGCACTACCGGGGGAAGGTCCAGTTCGCACTATGAATAGATGTGAAGAGGACTCACCTCATCCTGCGTTGCGGGTGGGCGACAGCTCCTGACATAGGTCTTCGGAATGATCAGCCAGAACGTCCGCAGTTGACTGAAGGAAAGAGCCTACGTTGTTGATGTACTTGGCATAGTTGCAGGTCGCGTTGCTGACAGTGATGCCCTGAGCTGTATGGATCTTCGCGTTGTCCGGAGTTCCGAGGGCATCGCAGAAGTCCGCAAAAGCAGTACTGCCGACCGCAGGGTCCCAGTTGTTGTCCTGCCACGCGCCCAGCGGGCCCTACGAAAGAGCCATCATCAGCTATCACGCCATGGTGCAGCACGTCCGCACAACGCGCACCGATAGCAGCGAAGCGAAGTCGGGGTCATATGTGAGGTTCTGCAGGCCGAAGACGGCCTTGATCGCGTGCCGCGTCTCCGCCTTGGGGCTCGTGATGAACGCGTCGACCTCGTCGATGGTCTTCTCGACCTGCGCGATGCAGCTCGCCGGCGCGTACTGCCGGATGATGTCGAAGTAGCGCCAGTCGTCCAAGGTCGCGTGCGTCACGCCGCTGGACGAGATCGCACCGAAGACGAGGTCCGGGTAGAGGACCCGCATGTGTGCCGCGCGCGCACCGCCGTAGGAACCCTGCGGTGCATGTGGTGCGTGAGACGCTCTGGGCAATGAGATGGGCTGCGCGGGTTCTTACGCCATAGTAGATCCAGGGCGTGCCTGGCGCCGTGAGATCCCCTGGGATGGTCGGGAAGGTGACGTTGTCGATGAAGTTGGCAGAGTCCGCCGCGGCTTGCTCGTTGTTCAGCCATCTGAAGAGCATACGCCGCGCGATGTGAGCATTCGTGCCATGAACATGCGAAGAAAGGGCAGCGCGAGCGTGCGCGCGAACGACAGTACCTGAGCGAATCGGTGGTGAAATTCTGCACGGGCACGGACTCCCCTGGGTACGGATCGTGAGCAATCAAGTCCTGTGACGCAGAGAGGCGCGTCTTACCGTAATACCTGTGTTCAAGTACGATGCCGAGGCCGTTAGTGGCGTTAGCGAGAATGTCGACGATGCCGGTGTCGAGGATGGGCATGCGCTCATCGCCCGGTCCCTCGCCAGCCTCGAAGACAATGACGGGTCCGCCAGGCTTGTAGTGGCGGTCACTCAGCCAGTACCGCTGCTCGAACGTGAAGCCGGTGTCTACAAAATGGTCGAGAGGCTGCGTGAACGTATACACAGGGAAGGTTGTGCCTTGACGTTTAGCCAGCGATCCGGACGTCGACTGGGACCTCAGGGCATGCAGCTTCACCCATTGGGGGTTGGTCGGGAGTCGGCGCGCTTCCGTGCTGCTGGGTTGCAGCAGGAGAAGAGAGAACGCGCAGAAGCTGGCCAGCCCTGACTTGAGAGAGGGCATGGTGGCTCTACAGATGAGGGAAGCTCGAGAAAGATCACGCATCGTTGTAGAGCTTTATATACGCCGGGGCGGCGGACGTAGCGTGATGGATGAGGAAATGGTTTTGCTTCTGATGCATTTGGTCATGATCCCGTTTCCGCAGGCTTGGCGGAGGTACTGGAGAATGGAAAGACTAGAGAACTTGAACTTATCAATACAACATATGTCAGTACTTAATCTGCGAACGCCCATGTGGTGTCCGAGACGAGTCAGATTCAGAGTACCAGTTAGAGGTGACAGGTCAGGGAGAGCGGCCAGATTTTAGAGCACAGCATCTAGTAGATCCCGACAATTACCAGCGGAGATCCATACTGTAAATGTCCTCTGGCCGCGATCTGCGTCCCCGGTCTAGCATGCAAGCGTACGTTGCCCGGAGGACGATATGAGACATTGGCAAGTTGGTGATTCGTTCACTTGCGATGGTTTGAAGCATACCACAACGCTCCAAGTCAGCCGTATCAGCAAACGCGACAGGACTTATCACGTGGGCGCTTTTATATGCCCCATGGCTGAGTTGGTTACAGCGTCCGACTGTTAAAGCCCCACAAAGGCTCAGACGATATCGGAAGGTCGTGAGTTCGAGCCTCACTGGGGCAGCATATCTGATACGCCCCTTTTTTATCAGCTTGTGCATTTTATGAATACGTCGTTCCTTCATGCAAGCAGCATGCCATGTTGCAGTTTCTTACATACATGATAAGACACAATACTCAAGGTAGACGGTTATGCAATGGAATTCCTCCTTCGAGTGTGGTCACATCCCATATGTCCGTTCGGTCTAGGTATATAATATGCCCCGTGGCTGAGTTGGTTACAGCGTCCGACTGTTATACGTGCAAATCTGGATGTGTGGCTGATTGGCATCGGAAGGTCGTGAGTTCGAGCCTCACCGGGGCAGCTAGCTTTTTTTTTGGCGGTGCTCAAGGGGCGCGAGCTCGCGCTCTTCCCATTGATTGCTTTCGGGATTCGAGGACGTAGTCCTCTATACCACCCGGAGGAAATGCGGTTATGCACGCGGTTTATGGCCGCAGTGTGGGACTCCAGGCTCGTGTCCTGCCTACCCACTAAAACCCCCGCCGACTCGAGCGTTCTCTCCCCGTGCATCTCCCCAGACTCCCTCCCACGTCCTCCGCACTACTTCCTCGTCCATCGTTCTTCGCCCTGCCAAAGCTGTCTTGGTCATTTGCTGGTCGAGTTCGGATCGTCTGGCTATTGCCGCTTGCCACATGCGCCGGATGGTGCCTTCGTCGTGTGTCTTGTTCTGCCCTTCCCACCCGATTACCCTCTCGCACCTCGCCTTCCAGATCGCGTGCGCCGTTTCTGAGAGGATGATTTTGGTCAGTCTTGACGTTCCCGGCCGCGCCTTTCCATTGTCGTCCTCTATTTCCATCATCGGTGCTCCTAGGTACATCCCAAACGAGGCGTTGGCCGGCAGGCACACCTTCCTTCGCTCGAGGAGCGCTTTGGCCATGTCCCACATTTGCCCTTGTCCCGGCGCTTCGCACTCAGTGAGTATGTGTGTCATCGAGTCTTCCACTCCGCATATGCTGCACTGCGCCCGTGCCTCGCAGTTCGGTATGTTCTTCCAGAAGGGTCCCACCTTGTACGCATTGTGCGCTACCTTCCAGAGGAAGTCACGGACTCCTCGTTCAATCGGGTCCCTTCTGATGGCTTTCCACCACGTTCGCGGCACATTCTGCTTCCCGGTTGTCGCCCGTACCGCCTCTATCGCAAGGTCTACATGTTGCGTCGTTTTTCGGTGCATTTCATGTGCATGACGTTGTCTGATACCTTTATAGGCGAGGCGTTGTGTCATGCACGCCAGTGACGCTCCTTGTCTCAGGAAGTGTGTTGGCGGGGGTGGGTGCGCGGGGGCGTATGGTGCCGGCAGGTTTGCTCCCTCACCCGCCAGGCGGTCTGCCTCTTCGTTGCCTCGCACTCTGCTGTGTCCCTTCACCCACTGGAAGGTCGTGGGTGCACTTCTCGATCGCAGCAGCGCGGCTGCTTCCATCATTTGCCTTCGATTTGCGGTGCCTATCCACCCCTCTTCTTCCCATTTCTCTAGCCACCTCGTAAGGCCATCCACGACGTACTTAGAATCGCTGACAATGTGGAGCGGCGCAAAGGGGGGGGTCGCGCGGTGTGCCATGGTGACCGCATAGATTTCTGCTATCTGGTTAGACTGGTCTGAGCCAGGCACCCTCTCTCCCCTGTTCCTGGCGTCCTGCTCCCCGAACCACACTCCGCTCCCCGCACGTGCGGTCGCCAGGCCATTGTCCGAACAGGACCCGTCTGTGTATACCACTACCGCCTCTTCTTCTACCACGTAGGCCCTCACCGGCCGTCTAGCGTGGACGCCATTCTCTCGTTCGTCCGTGAAGACTCTGAAGCTCTCAGCCAGAGAGGCATCCGAGACGGTGGGGTTGAAGGTGATCCGGTCGCCATCGCTTCTCGCTGCGCAGTTTTCTTCTAACCTGGTTTTTGTCAGCGTGAGGTGGTCTGCCGGGAGCTTAACCGTGGGGTTCCACTTGGGCTTTAGTTTTGCGATCATTCTCCCCGCTGCCGCCACGCAGCGGGCTGGGTTCTCACACGCTCGGTCTACGCGATCTATTATGCAGGGGCGACACTCGCACTCTAGCGTCGGCCTGTGTTGCGGTGTTCCCCGGTACGCTCGCGCAGCTATTTGCGCGCACTGCGCGACGGTCATGACTTTGTGGTTGGTGCGGAGGCACTTCGCAGATTTGCAGTTCGCTGAGTCCCTCCCTTCTACTAGGGCTAGGTGGTACCAGATTGGCATCCGTTCCACTACCTCCTCTCGGGGGTTCGGTGAGTGGAGTGCTACTCCGTACTTCTTGGCTGCTCTGACTAGTCTAAGAAGGGGCGGAGGCAGTCCAGCTGCCGTCCTCGTGCTTACTTCCCATGTTTGCAGGAAGGCGTTCACTCGCGCGTTTGGGTCCGTCCTCTTCGCCGTCGCAGCCACCGCCCGTGCGAGGAGCGCGTCCGCCAGGCTCGTCCATGTTGCTCTTCCTGCCTTCAGGCTCAGGTACTCCCGAACCCACACGAGGTCGATGGCGTCGTTCCTGGCTTTCACATCCAGCAGTCCCAAGCCTCCTTCCATTGGTGGCTGCTGCAGTTGCCCCATCGCGACCATCGGCTTCTTGCCTTCGCCCCACATAAACTTGCGGATCTCCCTTTCCAGTCTTGTCTCGACCTCAGGCGGCATGCCCATTGCTTTGGCCAGGAACTGCGTTCGTCCTCCTACTTCCATCCCCACTACTAGCCTCTTGCCATTGAGTGTCAGCCTCTTCTGGCCCCACTTCTCCAGGTTTCGGCTGACGGTGTCGACGATCTTCGTCCACGGCGCTGCGCGGTCCGTTCCGTTGCCAATCCATGCCCCAAGTATCCGCACCGACTCTCCGTCTTTTGCGATGTGGATGCCTTCCGGCACAGCGTGGCCGCCGTCCACCAGGGTTCTGGTGGAGATCACTCTTCTCCTGAACTCCTCCGAGCCTACCGGGATGATCTCCGTTTTCCCCAGGTTGAACTTCGCTCTCGACCCCTTGCACCAGGTGCCCGTTATCTCAGTCATCTCCTCATAGTGATCGTGCTCGCTGAGGAACACTGTGGTGTCGTCTGCAAAAAGCTTCGCCACCAGCCTCTCGGTCTCGCCTGGCAGGGCGAACCCTCTCAGCGTGGACGACCTCAGGGCTGCCGCCAGGGGTTCTATCGCGATGTTGAACAGTAGGCACGACATTGGGTCGCCTTGTCTCATCCCCCGTATAACGCGGAACATCGCGCTTTTGACCCCGTTGATCATTACGCAGCTCTCGCCCTTGGCGTACAGGTTTTGTATCGTTCGTATGAAGGCTCTCGGGAAGTTCATATGCCTTAGTGCTTCCCACAGGTATCTATGGTCTATCCTATCGTACGCTTTCTCCTGATCTAGCGCAACTACTACTCCATTTATCTCTTCGGTCTCTGCGTATGCAGTCATCAGGTCTACGAGTCTAATATGGTCATGTATACTCCTCCCGGGGACAAAGCCCGCCTGGTCCTTATGGATCAGGTTATGTGCACACTCGGTCAGTCGCAATGCTAGCGCGCGTGTCATGACTTTGTAGTCCGAGTTTAGCAACGTGATCGGGCGGTAGTTGACGATGTCCCGCTTGTCTTTCTTCAACTTATAGACCGGGCATATCCACCCGTTCGCAAAGCCCAGCTCGTCATCCACCCCGTGCTCCGCTATGTCGTTGTACACCGCGGTGAGGGCTGCTGCCATGTCAACAGTTGGCCTCCCGTTCTTGGCGTCCTCTTCGTGCCAGCGTATGTACTCCTTCCACACTTCAGTTTGCAGCCCGTCCAGGCCAGGCGATTTGTCCGTTGCGGCTGTTTTAATCGCCTCCGTCACCTCCTCCTTGGTGAGTCTCTCCGCCATGTCCGCTTTTTGTCTGCTGCTGATCCTCGTCTCCATCGGCCTCAGCGCGTCTTGTATGTACTTCTCATGGTTCTCTTCAGGGGTGAGCGGGTCGACGTGCTGCACTGCCTCGTAGTGTTTCCTAGCGACCTTCGCCATCTTCCGTGAGTTGTTCGTGTAGGTTGGGTTTGGTTCTGTCCCGCATCGCAGCTCACGTATGCTTTCTGCGCACAGCACGGTCATTGTGGTCGTCCCTGCCGACCGGGCCCACTTCTTGGTCATCGTCTCGTCTTGTATCCTATGCCGCGCTGCAACACATTTCCTCGCTGTCTCAAAGCGCTTCCTTTCCAGGTTGTCCAGCCGGTCCTGCAGTATGCCCGCATGCATCATCCTCTCATGTTTGGCTTGTTCACTCTCCTCTCCGCCTTCGTTATCCGCCGGCGGCGGGTTGAGGGTCCTCTTGATATCCTCTCGCAACATTTCAATCCTCTTTTGCATTTTAGGCACTTTCTCCTTCGCCCTAGCTCTCGCTGCCTGTGTCAGTTCGTCCTTAAAGGCTACGTACACAGTCTGCGGGTTTCGGTCTGGTTGCCGCTCCCCCATTTCTTCAATCGCCTTTACCAGCTTGCCGCCTATTTCTCTCATTTTCCGCTTCATTTTCTCGTCCGTCAGGAGGTGTTTTGGCATGACCCATCTCCCCTTGCCCACATACGGGGCCTGTCTATCGGCCATGTCCACTACTGCCAACCGGTGGTCAGTCAGCAGCCCTGGTTCCAGGATGTCCCAGTTGTCCGCATCCTCACAGATGCTCTTTCGTATGTAGATTCTATCTATTCTGGACTGACTTCCAGTACTCTTCTGCATGTAGGTGTACGCTTTCTGCTCTACGTTCGCGTCTCTCCACCCGTCTGACATCTGTCCGCTCCGCACAAGCGCGGACAGTGCTTCGGTCGCTTCCGCGCTGTCGCCCCTTTCGGGGATTCGGTCTCTCGGGCTTTCGACGATGTTGAAGTCTCCGAGCAGCAGGTCCAGGTTTGTTGCCTGCTCGCTCGTCTCAAGCGTCTTCCAGAACTCCGCGCTTTGGCACGAGTCGTTAGGTCCGTAGACATTCATTATCCTGATTCGTCTCTCCTCTGACCATTTCAGGTCTAATACGAGTGCTCTCCCCCTCACCACCTCTGTCGTGACATATTCAGGCTTTTTCACAAAGCGTTTGTTTATCGCGAAAGCTACTCCCCTCGCCCCCGTCTCGTTGATAGGGTCTGGTGAGTGCACAACTTCCATTACATCACCGAACAGGCGATTCAACATTTGGACCCTCTCCTCACTCAGATGCGTTTCTTGCAGCGCAAGCACTGCAATCCTCTTCTCTCTCAGCACTTGGTTTACTTGCATCCACTTACCTTCCGGGGTTGCGTCCCCGGTTGTCCTATAGCCCCTCATATTGAGCGACGCGAATCTCAGGTGCGCTTTAGTCGGTCTTC